TTCTCTTTCTTTTTCAGAGATATACCACTTGATAACCTCAGTTTTCTTCTCCTTAGGTCAGCTCTCTAGAAGACTATAAACAACCTGAGTACAGACTAAGGTCTTATTCAACTTTTTACCCTTGCACGGAACATCACACCTAATATATACTACAGTGTAGGAGCTCAAATGGTATTTGTTAAGTGAATAAGAATAGTGATGATAAAAAATATTAAAACTGTCATGGAGAGTTTTGAGAGTCAAATAAAATAATGAACATAAATGTATTTTGGAAAAGAAAAGGCATTCCAAAGTAAATTAAGAGGAAGTTAATTTTGTTTAGAGGGATACTTTCTTCAATTTTGTGGTTGAAACGTGTAGAATAAAGAATAAGAAATGAGACGTCAAGACCGGTGAAGTGTAGAAAGCTTACTGACCCTCCCTTCCTCAACCTTCTCCACGATTCTCCAGTGTCCACATGTATTGATGGACTTCCAACAGCTTATGTGGTTCATGTGTAAACCTTGATGCATCTCCCGATGTTGGAGGCCCCAAGCAGGTAATGGTGTCGATGTCGCGGGGTTTTCTCCTCAGATCTTCCTTCCATTTCTAAGCCCTGTCTTGGGAGTCGCATCCAATCTCTTCTCAAAATGTCCATGGTGCTGTGGCCCATGCTGGGCTGCCCCTATTCTCTCTTCATTTAGGAACTTTGCTTAGGTTACTTAAAGGATCATAAAGGGTTAAGTTTTTATTCAAAAAGTGTGTGCAAGCAAAATTATTTTGTAAAAATTGCTTTTATTTCTCATAACTTAAAAATGAACAGTAGTCATGGACAAAATAGAAAACTAAACAAGTGTTGTATGAACAATAGATATTTAAATACTATAAATAGCATTAATAGTTCAAATAATTAAATACATTGTAAAAATGACAAAAGTATTTTGTGCATTTCTCTGTCCTAAACAACTTTTAAATTACATCACAATATAATTTTATAATAATCCCATACATTTGCTATGACTTATTTTTCATCTGGCATAAAAGTAGAGATGAAGCTTGCACTTTGAGTCTCAGGAAACAGCCATTTAGTCGAGCAGATGAACTGTTTCTAGTTTTCCTGAGGTTTTATTGGCTGAGTTTTCCGGTGAGCTTGTTCATGAAGAGCAAGCACCTTCTGATTTCCACCCTGACGACCTCCCAGGCGCAGCCGCTGTAGTCTTTCTCTTTCAGATACAGACTGATTCTTCGGAAGTACCTCTTCACAGCCAGTGTGGAGATCTCACTTCCCAGGGCTGATTGTTCCACCTTCGTCTCCTTCCCCAAACATGTCTCCAGGTCATCCAGCTGCTGATAAAGGCCAAGGAGGAATTTGTCCAGGAGGGTCTCATCCCAAGCGGCACGGGAGCCAGTGGTGCTGAAGAGATGGAAGGTGTGCTGGAGCATCTCATGCAGCACAGCTGTGGCTTGTGTCTTCCCAAGCTGGTCCCCATCCACAAGTATCTGAGGAAATCGGAAGTCAGCCCTGTCCTTCAGACACAACAGAGTGGAGATTCTCTCCATTTGACTCAGAAGTGTGATGGTTTCCTGATTGCGCTGTCTCAGAGGCGGGTCACAGCCCAGAGGGCAGGCAGGGCAGGAGCCCAGCATCGCCAGGGCCAGCAGCACAGAGACTGGGAGGGCCATTGGGCAGCCGGAGGGCTCTGCAGGGCTGCCTGAGGGGGAGTCTCAGCGAGCTCTGAGGACTTTGGGTGCTGAGTGCCTTTTACACAGTGAGTTTAGAAACTTTCATTTTCTGGGTTTTTCCACTTTTTTGTCCTTTCCTTTCCCTTTCTACATTTTTTTTTTTCACAAAGTCAATTAAAAATGTGCACTTGTTGACTTGATGGGGGACTCCAAACCACGCATGACAATGCAGTATCTACACAGTATTGTAAAATGGTTTTCACACCTCCTAGATTGGTCTTCAGCAGAAAGGCCTTGATAAAGTAGGAGAAGGAAGAAACATTCATACGATAATGGTGGCTTTTCCATGCCAGTAGGAAATATAAAAGTGCTTTTAAAAGAGAAGATTTGAGTTTTCCTTATTTTGTCGTGATTTACACTTCTTCTCCTTCTTTAAAAAATTTCAGTTGTATATATATATATCTTAAAGACATCTTAAACTCACTGAGGACATTGTTTTGCAGATAAGATTTGTCAAAAATAAATAAGGTGCGCTTATGGTCTGCTGGGCACTCCGCTGGGTGCTGGTTTCCCTACAAGGTTCAAGTTTGCCTGTGTGTGATTCTCTCTGTTCTCTACCAAGTAGGACCTTCCCCACTGAAAACTCGGCCTCGGTCATTGTGCAGTAATGCAGATCAGCTCATCTCCTTGGGTATTGCATTGGCAAGTGCTGTCCTACCTCATACTCAGGGATAACGGGGCTGCAACGGTGTTCAAAGCTGACCATCACATGTCTTCGTTGAATGGCTAATACACAGATTATTTTTAATGATATTAATGGCAGCAACCTTTAATTATGCACAGGCTGTCAGCAAAGTGTTTTACAAACATTATTTCATTTAATATTCACAGCTTCCCTGTGAGATAATTACTATAATTATCTACATTCTGCAAATAAGGAAACTGAAAACTCGGAGAGGTTTCATAACTTGCTAAAAGCTTCGATTTATTACGGAAGTGGTATTAGCGCTATACTGTTCTGCCTTCATGTTACTCCTCATTAACCTTAAGTATTCTTCTTTAGCTACACTCTGTATACTCGTCATCAAGTAACCCATCTAATTATTTGTTTAACATCTAACTACCCTGATAGACTGTAAGATCCCTGAGGACAGTAGTGCCATATCCCAGTGTCCAGCAAGGTGCCTGTCACAGAGGAGGTACGCAGAGGGCTGTCTGTCCCATAGCAAGTACAAAAATGACTATATGTTCCAATGAGGGAGTAAACATAAAACCCTTGGGACCATGTCAGAAAATGGGAGTCTTCTAAAAACAAAGATAGTAAGAGTAAGTTTTAAGTGGATACTTTAACCTCCTGGAAAATTTATGAAACTATCTCAGATGGGAATAGGAAGTTTCAAAGAAACGGTAGAACTCAACAAACACATCATGTGAAAGGCAGGACTGGAGCTTAGCAAGTGGAAAGGCAGCTATAGCCCCTTCAAGTATGTTGTAACGTGTCTAGAATGAGCAAATGGTGATTTTCGGCGACTAAGAACAATGGGAATTGGAGAGTAAGAACCTGCTGAGTGTTTATCTAAGACAAGAAGAATGTTGTCGGAGGAGACAGCCAAGCTAGTGGCTAGGGCGGTGGACTGTGGGGCTAGGCCTGGGGTTATTTCACAGCTCCAGCTGGCACTTGCCATGTGATCTTAGGCACCTCAGGTTTCTCCTCTGTTATATGGAAATGATGGTCGTAACTATTTCACTGCCTTGTTGTGTTGTGATGATGTAGCGTACCATAACGATGCCTGACAAAATGGGCACTCACTATCTGTCAGCTGTTCCCACAATGGAGAAACGTAACCTGTCGAAGTTTGGGAACTGGATGGAAGCTGCCCTGAGACGATCTGCTTCCCTTCCTTGAATTCTCAGCTCACTAATAAACACTTTTATTTCTAATCTCATCGCTTATGTGAACATGAGCATGTGTCCACATGACAGGGAGTGTCCTGTCCAAATGACTAACATTTACTAGCCTTCAGGGAATAGCTAACCTCTCACCGAAAAAGAAATCAATGAACAGATTCTCTGATTTAGCAAGGCTGAAAACTAGCCCTTCAGGTAACAGCCTGCCTTCAAGAGCCGGCTGCCCTCCTCTGCACCTGCCTGCGGCTACAACAATCACACACAGGCTGGTTTGAAACCTGTCTCTCTGTAGAGCTCTTACTCCCTGACTTGGGTAGTTAAGTGACATTTTTTTGTTTCGATAAAGAAGATGTCGCTTCTTTTTCTTTCATTTTCAGTGTTGACTTTCCAATTTCCTTTGTGCATTCCTTTTTCATACTGCTGACTTTTACTTTCTAGGAATGTTAAAAGAGAGAGGAAAGTTCTGAGTCTTGAAAATCACACAGGAACTATGTTACCTCTTCTTTTCCCTTACATTTTCTCTTCCTGTTTTTGCAGCAAACCTCAAAGTGGAAATAGAAAAGATTGCAGGAGTATTAGGACAACTTTTATAAAGTGAAAATACAAGTACAAAAGAAGAGGTAAGAATTTTAAAATTAGGCAATTTTAAACTTAGATGAAAATAAAAAAAAAAATGGGTTGCTTAACTATGACTGCGAAAAACGTAGGACAATGGCCTCGGCTGGGACAAACCGTATGCCACGAAGCAGCAAAGACATGTTCCAAATACTTGAACATCTGGGTGGTAGTGGTGCTTGCACTTTACATGAGGGCAGGAGTGGAGGTTTCACCATCTTGGTATAGCCTGAGCTCAACGTAATGATTGGCACAGAGTAAATACTTGGTGATGTTCTCAATTACGTAAAGTAAATAAAACCAAATTTGGCAAAATAAATATTGTACAGCAGAGAATAAGGTGAGATCTACGCCTGTAAAGATCAGGTATCTTTCACATCTGATCAACACTTCCAAGAGGGATATCTAAAGGGAGGAGAAAGAAGATTTACAAAAGAAGCCTAGCAAAGCCTCCTTAAAAGTTGTTCTTAACATCAGGGAGAAAGATCCAGATGTCCCTATCAATAGTTCAAAGTTGGTTTTTGCTGAGATGATAAGCATTTCCTTGAATTAGGACTTCTCAGCTTTTAATGAATAAATTTCACTTCAGTTGTAAGAATATACAAAGAGTCGAAAGTAATGACAACTTTCCAGGTTCTTGAAGAGAAAGGAAAGTCCAAAATGGGGAAGTACAAAGACCTGGGGAAAATTTAGAAATGAATACTCTTGGGCTGACTATTTAAGAGGCACCTAGACAGAAGATCCTCAGAGAAGCTAGACAAAAGCTCTCAATCTCCCGTCTCAACCAGAAGAGCTGCGTCTTGGCACTTACCAACGGCTTTCTCAGTGTCTTCCCTGATGGCACTGGTGGTGATCTCCTCCAGCCCCGTCTCCTCCATGAGCTGCGACCTGCCTGCGAGCCTTGACTTGAGAAAGCAGGAGACCCTCAGAGTTCTGCACCAGATGGAGACAATCTCTCCTCCTTCCTGTCTGAAGCACAGGACAGACTTCAAATTCCCCCAGGAGCAGCTGGATGGCAGGCAGTTCCCAGAGGCCCAGGCCACGTCTGTCCTCCAGGAGATGCTCCAGCAGATCGTCAACCTCTTCCACACAGAGCGCTCCTCTGCTGCCTGGAACACGACTCTGCTGGACCGACTCCTCACGGGACTCCATCAGCAGCTGGAAGACCTCAACACCTGCTTGGATGAGCAGACAGGAGAGGAAGAATCCGCCCTGGGAACTGTGGGCCCTACACTGGCCGTGAAGAGGTACTTCAGGAGAATCCGTCTGTACCTGACAGAGAAGAAATACAGTGGCTGTGCCTGGGAGATTGTCAGAGTGGAAATCATGAGATCCTTCTCTTCATCAGCAAACCTGCAAGGAAGATTAGGAATGAAGGATGGAGACCTGGGGTCACCTTGAAATGATTCTCCTTGCCTGATGTGCCAAGTCACCCTTGCACATGCTTTTTGTCATTTCAGATGGCTCTTATTTCTTCACAGAATTTACTGAATTTAATTCAACAAATATTTTGTGAGTAGTAGTAAGCAAGAATATGTAAAAAATATTCAGGTCCTGCAGCATCAGTGCCTAAGAGTGACTGCCCTGATGTCTTATTTTATTGTTTGTTAATTTATTTATCTATATTTATTTATTCTTGTATCTTATCATATTTATAGTTCATATAAAAGATGTTTGCCTTTTATTGTATTAAAATTTAGAAAACCTCTTGACTTTTCCATTTCATTAAATTTGCATTTTGTTTTATTTATTAAATTGTTATCAAAGAAAACTTCTAGAGTCTGTTTATCCTTAAAACCTGAATCCAAACCCTAGTTTTCCAAACCAAATCAAAGAATGGAGGTGCTTTCTCTTCGTCAACAAGCTCATGAGATAACTCAGGATGTTAAGAAGTAAGCTGATTCTCAGTGACGGATGTCCTAGGTCAGGCTCTCAACTGCTCAGTCTGTTCCAAAACTGTTATTTTTTCTTCAGCTATAAAATAATTTGAATCATAATTGACATACTCTATCAGTAATATTAAGCATATCTATGTTTAACCATTTCCAGAAGTAGAAGAAACGTAACTAGTACCCTGTGGCTGAACCTCATGTTATAAAATATTTATTCATGTATTTATTCATATTAATTTACCTATTCATTTTTATGGCACTTTCATTTAGATGTACTACTTTTATATAATAATATGTTCACATTCCTCTTCTTTAATAAAAACAGTATATTTTTACATATTAAATCTATTTTATGACGTTTATCTTCCCTTTTTTTTTAAAAAAAAAAGCATCTTCCCCAAAGTCCTAGTTCTGCAAACTAAATGTGAAAGTATGTGGTGCAGTTCATTCGTTCATTCATTGGCCTTGGGGATAGAGTCTTGAGTGTGAGATGTGTCGTCCTGCCCTTATGGAGCTCCGCTGGAGCAAAGGACATAGCCATTAAAGAAGTAGTTATAATGTATTTACATTTGGTATCTGGGCCACACAGGAGAAGAAAAGATGCCATGACAGTGAGTATCCTGGGTAGCTCATTTAATCCTACCATTCAGTTTTCCCCAGGGAAGTAATAGGAATTATGAGACTTGAAGGATGAGTAGGAGTTTGTTAAGTATCTTGCAGAGGAAAACATTTCCCAGAGTGAAAAAGAAAAAACTGCATAGAGAGAGGCCCTGCAGGAGGAAAGGCTCATTTAAAGAAGTGAAAAAGACCAGGGTGGGTGGACTGTACCGAAGGATGGAAGTCTGGCATGTAATGAGGCTGGAGAAATGGAAAGAGGCCCAATGACTGACCATGTTAAAGATGTTTGACTTTATCTTGAGAGCCAGGAAAGTGACTGTAGTATTTAAAGCTAGAGCTTGAGCAGAGCAGGTGCGGGGAAATCCTTTAGAGCAGCAGTTCTCAAAGCGCGGTCTGTGGGTCCCTTGGGGTCCCCAAGACACTTTCAGGGGATCCACGAGGTCAAAGTTATTTCTATAATAACATTAAGACATTATTTCCCTTTTTCATCACATCAACAACTTACACTGAAGGTGCAAAAACAAAGGTGGGTAAAACTGCTGCTGGCTGAGTGTCAATCAAGGCACTGGCACCAAAATCGACTAGTAATTATTCTATTTTTCACTGTACTATACTTGAAGTGAAAAACGTGCCAGGTTCACTTAAGAATGCCATGGATGAAATCATAAGATCATTTCTTTCTCTATTTATCTAAGGCATGCTATTTGGTGAGGAAGAATGGCACTGAGCCAACATCTGTTACCAATCATCTTCTATTTTTTTCTCCCCAAAGCCAGAGCACATAGTAGTATATCCTAGTCGTAAGTTCTTCTGGTTCTTCCCTGTGGGATGCTGCCACAGCATGGCCAGATAAGCAGCATATAGGTCCAGGTCCAGGATCTGAACCAGTGAACCCTTGGCTACTGAAGCAGGACACGTGAAATGAACCACTATGCCACTGGGCTGGCCCCTGAAATAGTAAGATTATTAATTTTATTACTTCTTGACTTTTGAGCACACATCTTTTTAATTTTCTCTGTGCCAGTCTTCTTAAAATTCTGTGTGACAAGCAATTCTACTGCTTGCACGGTGATTGTTTTGAGGAAAAGCACTCATATGATCATTTGAGTTGAGCTAAACTAGACACTCTTCTCACAGAATCCATTTTTACTTGAAAGAATGGTGACAAACTATGAGTAGTCAGACTCGGGCATTTGACAGACATTTTCTCAAGATATTTATAAAGTGAACCTGTTGCTTCAAGGGAAACATTTGTCGTCAATGACAGCAGTTGAGCTTTCAAGAGAAAATTAGAATCTTAGAAAATGTACCACTGTGAACTTGATAACTTCCCAATACTTCAAGACTTTTGTGATGACAACAGTCATGGTTTTAACAAATGAACTACTTGATTACACAAGTTGAAATATAAATACATTTGTAAGATCTGAATATCTCAGTGAACCAATAGTTTCCTAATGACCATTGCATATAATACAAAATCCTGCATGAGTAAACGAGACCTATTCAAAGAGTAAGTCAGATTGATAGGTTTTTATGTGACAGAACTTTAAAAGTTCATTGTTTTAATTTTAGACTCCTCCTTGCAACTAATCCTTAAGAAACCAGCACTAATGGAGGTCTGGTGTGATAAGCGATGCATTATATAAATATATTGTCTAGTATCAAATCTTCTCTATATTTCTAAGATACTCTTCTTAATCATGATGAATGAGTTTATTAATGCGATTGTGAATTGTGTCACAGCAGAAAGTATATGGAAATGGGAAAATACAGATAGGGTTGAAACCATACTTCTGCTATTTAATAGCTTATGTTCTGTTGCTCTTGTACGTAGTAGGTACTCAATAAGTGATAGTTATTGTTATCTAAGGACATGCAGTAGAGAATAAGGTATTGTTTAAGAGCTTGGTAGGATTGCAGAGAAGACAAAAGTACTTCCTGTAAAGTGTTTAGCACAGTCCCTCTTGCAGAGTGAACAGTCAGTAAACATCAGCTTTTATTATTTACATTAATGCTATTTAGAATTCTTTTATTGACTTTAATGAGTGAGGTCAGTCTATGTTCACTTCATATGTTTGATAAAGCTATGAGTTTACCTCAGTGTGTAACTTTGACTGCTTTTGCAAATTTTAAGCATAGTGCTTTAACGTCCATTACTTACTAAATTTCTCATTTTATTTTTTCTCTCTGACTTGACTGGAATTTATCAGTATAATTTTAAATATCTAAGTGAGTGGTTTAGAGATTATTTTAACTTCGGGTCTTGTCATCTGAGCGTACAACTTATAGTATTTTTGCTCTGGAGGAATTATTGATGTTTCTTTGCAGTCTAAATAAATTATGATGATTTTTGTGATGATTAATAAATATTTGAAAGGTTGTGTTTCTTATTCTAGGTTAGACTGACCCAGAGTCTTAGCTATTAATTTACTCTTAAATCACACATTCTGATTCCTCATGTTCTTGTTATTTTTCTATATTATTTTTATAGACTAACAGCATTGTGCGAAAGTTTCAAGGCTACTATCATGTTTCTGTTGGCATTTCTATATATTGCTGAATATTTTTGCTCAATGTTTTATATGATTCGAATTTTACTTCCATGTCTTTTATAATTTAATTATATCTTCTATTTTTTTCCTACATACTGACCCTCCTTCTCCAATTTAACACATTCATTGGACATCAATATTGATATTGAGCATTATCAATATTTCATTGATATTAATATTGCCGTCTCTAATTACTTTCCTTCATTTTCTTTTCTTGCTCTGTCTTTGATGATCTTTTATTTTGCTGTTTTACTAGTATTTAATATTATTTGATTTTAGGCTGTTTTCCCTATGCAAAGTAATAATGGAGTTTGTGTTTTACGCTAATCAAGTTTTTACTTTTAATAGGAAAGTTGAAACAGTTTATATTTATTATATTAACCATTCTGTTTGATTCTCAAATTTATTGATTTATGCTTTACTTTTGACATTAATTTTTTTGATGCTTGTCATACTCTCTCCAAACTCCAATTGCCATTAATTTAAAGACAATATATTTGTAAAAGCAGCTTAAATTTTCTCTTTATTTGGAATGACACATTGCATAATACTTTAAAAAATAGAATTTTAAAAGTATTTCTTTAATTTTGGCTGGTTTTACTATTCCCTACCAGTTCTTATTGAAACGTTACTTTTAGTCAGCATGGTAACTGTGCATATGAATCATGCTATGAATACATATGCACCTGAATTTATGTTCATATACACACACACATGAGAAGGTCTAAAAGCTTAATGAATAGATATCAACTCCTGACTTTAGGACATAAAAATATATTAATTTTAAATGTTGTTAGAATGTTAGTAAGTTGAATGCTAAATTAGTGCCATATAATCCAAATCTAATCATGGGAAATATGTAGGAGTTATGTGGTCAATAAAGTGGTAATCCACTTCAATTAAACAATCCTCATTTTACGATGAAGACGAGCAATGAGTTTGATATTCTTGTCCAGCCTGTAACCTGTCTCTGAAAACAGTTCTCATCCTGGAATGCAAAATCTTTTTGAATGATGATAATATTGTTGCCACCATTAGTCATGTTAGCTTCAGACATGTTTTTCAAGACCTGTATTGAAACTGCAGCAAGGTATACTTACAATTAAGGAAACTTCTAGAAGATCCGAGTAAGTGTCACATAGCCACATGGTGGCTCCCCAGCAACCTTTCATCAAGAAGGCAGGTGAGTCGTGTTAGGTCTGAGCTGCACATCATCAGAAGGGGTTCCTTCATCATGGCGTGCTCTCTATCAGTTACTGCAGGCCTTTACTGGCCTTTCTTCGGTGATTCATTATCCAATGATGGACTGGACCAAGTGAAAACACGAGAAAATGAAGATTGTAGGCAACATTTCTTCCCTGTGCTCCAGGCCCTCAGCTTTGGAGTCTGGCTTTGCCTTAACCAAAGATATGTAAGCTTGGTGTTATCCTGCCATCTACTGGATGTAGGGCAATACTGGCTTAGAGACTGGGTAGGTCGTTCACCCTTCCATGACCTCTGGTGGGACCTAAGCCAGAAATTAGAAACAAAAGAAAGAATATTTCGATGTCCTGCACATTTAAAAACAAAGAAACAAGTGTGCGAGTGAAGCCAAAGAAGTTTTAATTCATAATAGTGAACCTAGTAATTTGAAATTTATGTTTGTAGATCCAGATATTCATCTTCTTAATCCAAAGAAAGCTTACACATATAATTAGCATATGTGTATAAATGGACTAATTTGAACCTAAAAGAGACATTTATATTTAATTAACAAATTTGTGTGTAAATTTTGTTGTTATTATCCCTGGGCTGACTTACGTCGTATTAAGCACCATGCTAAGACAATTAATCAAGTGTTAACAATCAAATCTTGGGATGAAGGGTTTGGGCCTTTGGTTCCTGTTTGCTCAAAGGATACTTGAGTTCTGCTATGTAAATTTTCTGACCCACCTACCCCATCAATAACCTTCAATTGTACACATCGATAATTTCTTTCATAGAAAGCATTCATTGAAAGCAGACGCTCACTGGACATTTTCTCCAGGTAGAGTCACATGAGCATTGTCATGATTCCATGGCAATGAGCACTGCCTGTGTGGGATGAAGTGATAAGGATGCATTGGCAGGGCTGGAAGTGGCAGCCAGAGTGGTGATAGCAAGGGAACAAGCACCAAAACTTTAGAGCCAGAAGAAAATTCAGTGAGGAGGAAGATTCAGTGTGGTGAGCAGCTCATGATGAGGCTAGAAATGGAATATTTTCCAGCCACAGTCAACAACTTTCCCGGAATCATCAGAGGATCATTCTAAGCATCTGGATTATAGAAAGCCGAATTTCATCTTCATCCCTTGGACCGAAGTTTCTGATACTCCTTTCAAGTAGGTTGGACCCGGGATTCTGGTCCAGGACCCAGAGGACTGATCATGACAAATCCCTGGGTTCGCTGTGAAGTGCTGAAGGAGGAGGAGCAGGAGCTGGGGCCTCTGGAATTACTGAGAATTGACCTTCCACTCCCCATCATGCTCAAGCGGAAGGTGGAAAGAACGTAGTGAGGTAGGAGGCAGTGGGACAGAAATCAGATGAATGTGGAAAGAACTCAAAGCAGGGGATTGACATAGGGCATGAGAAGATGGGTCACAGACTCCAGGTGAATCCCTGAGAGAGCTCCAGCCTTGCCAGCTGAGGGGATGAAGCTATGGAAGGACCTACGCTTTTTTTTTTCCTGCTTTTTCTTCCCAAATCCCCCCAGTATATAGTTGTATATTTTAGCTGTGGTCCTTCTAGTTGTGGCACAGGACCTACGCTTTTTAAAAGACCCCCTTGAAGGAAATCCTTTAACTCTTTCTTGCTTGATCTTCCCATAGTCAGATTTTCCTTTTCAGGGTTGCTGAAGAGTAAATAATAACAGAAGGGTACCCATTGTCCACCCGAAGACATATTTCTTCTAGAACTTTGCCATAGAATCCCAGGTAGGGAAATGACTTCAAACAGCAACTGGACCAAGTCTCCTATCTTCTCATCACTGGCCAACATCACACAGAGAAATCACCTGAGACCTGCAAAAGGTAAAGGTTTATCTAAGAAATGTGAGAACACGATTTTCTTTACATCACACCACATGCAATTTTCTTTTCCCTAAGTAAATTTTTTTCTTTCTTCCCCTGCGGGAAACTGATATTTATTGTTGATCATCTGATCTTTATTGATAGATCAAAATGGTTTATTGTTGAACATCAGACTTTGTAAAGAGCTCCCTGAAACCCCCAGCTCTTTTCTCCGATCTCTCAGTGTATCCATTTAGAGGTCGAAATTGTCAATTCAAAAATAGTCCTCTGAGCACTAAGAGAAGGGGAGGAGGATGTTAATTCTCAAAACATCTCAAGTAGCGCAGACATGACAAAGTGTGTCAGAGGCGATCTTAATTGATCATGGCCCAAGTGAATGGCATGTGTTGGCAAAGAAAGGAGAAATTATAGTGTAGAGTAGACTGGACTTTTCTATGACAATCTTTGCACACTTACTTTACACCAGGCACTATGCCATTGTGTTTTTTAATTTTAATAAATATACATATATATTTTTTATATTGATCAGGAGCTAGCATCTGTTGCCAATCTTCCTCTTCTTCTTTTCTTCTCCCCAAAACCCTCCAGTACATAGTTGTATATTCTAGCTGTAGATCACTCTAGTTCTGCTATATGGGACGCTGCCTCAGCATGGCTTGATGAGCAGTGCTAGCTTCACACCAGCATCCGAACCAGTGAAACCCTGGGCCGTCGAAGCAGAGTGTGCCAGCCCCTAAATATATTTTTTATTTCAAAAAAATATTATTGTTATTTTGTTTTTGTTTGTTTTATTGCTTGTTTGCTTTTCCTATAGGACAGTGAATACAGGAGATGAAAAAACTTATAGAAAACAAAGTAAAAATTTTGCCTACGTGAACAATACTGAGTAAATTTTAGTATTATTTTTTTCTTAGGTAAATAGCTAAAAATGGAAGGGCTGAATCATATGTAAGTGTATGTTTACCTTTTAAAAGAACTGCCAACATGTTTTCCACAATGGTTCCACCATTTTACTTTTCCACGAGCAGTGAAGGAAAGTTTCATTTGTTCCACATCCTCTTCAACACTCCATATGCTCAGGCTGCTTAATTTCAACTACTTTCATCAGTGTGTAGCAGACCCTTTGAGGAGCTCTGCAATATTGGCATCCCAGTGTTCCTGCTCTGGTCCTCCAAAGGATGGGAACTTCAGGAACTGAACAAGGTTGATGTTGATCGTTGCTGGTATTCTGACCCTCAGAGCTGTGAGTGTGTTCTGTAGTTTCTAAAACTCATCAATCTGTCCTTGATCCCATAAAATAGGACCAATACCATCTGAGAGATGACTGTGTGCCAGGCACATAAAAAGCCTCACTATCACCCCAGGTAGGAGTCGTTGCTGATGAGAAAGTACAGACTCAAGTTAAGTCATTTTCCTTACAGCTCAAATGGGCAAAAACAGCACCTGGAGTTGAATTCAGCTCTTTCTGACTTTAAAACCCATATCATCTTGTCTCTCAGTGTGCTGCCTTTGCAGGATGCAAAACACCGTTACAAGCAAATCGCCTGTGCTGTAGATGATGAGGACAGCAGCTTTCAACACAGGCATCATGTTGAGTGGGAGCTGCGGCCTTGGAGTCATGACAGGGCTGGATTGGAAGTTGAGAACTACTGAATATCCTTCACATGTGCCTGGTTCTGACAGCCTAACGGCAATCATGAATATGTTTCAGGTGCAACAAAATAAAAGCCGGATCACGTTTCTCCCCTTGACGTCACTAAGTAGGCCAAGGCATCATCAGCCCATAATTTTCCGAGCCAGAAATATCACTGTCATTCCGTTCTGTATCCCTCTTACGCAGCAGGTCTGATCAGAATGCTGGCACTGAGGTCTGACATGAAGGGAGGACGAACTTGAGTTCTGTTGAAACAGGCATACTTTCATGTTTCATGTTTATCTGTTTGAGCAGCTAACATTAACCACTGATAAGCGATGCTTTTCAGAGATCTCGAAAGCATGAAGATTTCCTGTTTTTCACACCCTTGAGACCAGAAGGGGTTGAAGTAAGGCATCACCAGCACCGTTAGCAAATAGCGAATAGATTACACAACTGAGTTCCGTGATTCAACGGATACAGTGACACTGAGCACGGGGCCGCTACTCAACAGCGCGCGCAAACCCCCTTCGCTGCCCCCAGCTGCCGGCAGGGGGCGCCCGCACTCGCCGTGAACGACCCTCCGGCGCCGCCCGCCCAGCGGGATCCGCCTGGGGCTCCGGCCGCGGACACGGGGAGACCCGGCGCGTCGCCGTCCGCGGGAGCCCGGCCCGGGCGAGGCGCCGCGGGGCTCAGGGACCGCGCGGGGCGGGACAACGCGGAGCAAACGCTTCCTTTCGGCCCGACGCCGCGGGGAGCTCCGCCGGGGCCCCGCCAGAGCCTTCCGCTGCCTGCGCCTGCCCGCGTCCATCCTTCCCTTTCTCCTGGAAGGTCGGGGCCACACCGTTTCCAAGAGCGCGCGCTCATTCGGGGACCGGCGGCTCGAGGTCAGAGCGTGCTGTGGGCTGTTTCCAGATTCAGGAGGGTTTCTGGGGAGAAAGACACGAATTCGGGGAAACGGAGACGCAGCTACAATGTGGACACAAATCTTCGGAATGTTGGGACTCTGGTGGAATGACCTGGGGACCCGGCCAGTGCTCCGCTGGGACTTCTTGGAGCCGGAGGCAGAAGGCAAACTATGTTCTCTATATACTTGTTTTCATTATTTTTTTAATGGCTAATTTTTCCTACAGCGTTAAAGTCGTTGAAAAAATATTTAAAAGTAAGTGTATTAAAATTCGCAAGGCTGGGGCAGGCCCAGTGGCAAAGCGGTTAAGTGCACACGGCGCTTTGGAGGCCTGGGGTTCATCAGTTCGGATCCCAGTGCGGACATGGCACCGGTCATCAAGCCATGCTGTGGTGGGCGTCCTACATATGAAGTAGAGGAAGAGGGGCACCGATGTTAGCTCAGGGCCAGTCTTCCTCAGCAAAAACAGGAGGATTGGAGGCAGATATTAGCTCAGGGTTAATCTTCAAAAAAAAAAAAAAAAAAAAACTCACAAGACTATTCTAAATTTAAATATTTTATATATGTCCAAACAAGAATGTTATAATTTTACTTTCTTCGCACTAATAGAAGGAAAGTAATCAAGTCTTTTCAAAATAGACTTCTTTGATAATCTTGTTTTCATTGTTAAGAATTGCTGTTTTTGAAATTTTTATGATCTGCAATAATAATTTTTAATGAACATCAGCTCACTGAAGTTTCTTTTGCAACATCCCCCTGTGACTAGTATTTTCTATAAAACGTTCAAAGCCACCTGCCAATTTGGATAAGGTTGCACTAAGCCAAATGTGTGAATCATTTTAGAAGATCCAAACAGGAAACCGATTTTATATTCCAAATTACTGACATTGAATCTTGCTTAAAATCATTTAAAATGAAATTTCTGCAGAACTTAAATTGCCCAAATATTTAAAAGCCAAGTCAGTGGCTGCTTTTTGAAACTCAGATGTATTCATTGAAAAATAATTTTCTCCTGTTAAATATTAAATCTGAAGGCCCATGGTTGAAGTTTTTGTATTTCCGTCTCCAAGTTGAAATTAGGATTCTGTAAACTCCTAACCTTTAAAATATGCCATATCCCATAATCACTGATACTTTCATCCAGTGATTCGTACATTTCCAGTTTGATAACATTTATTTCCATTTATTTTCAAAGTCGGGAAGTGCACTCCTATCTGTTTCTAACGTTTTAGATTTATCAACATACTTTCAAAGTTATTTTCTCTCATTTGTTGTAAGCCAAAGGGTGGGCCTTCTGTGAAGCCTGCTGCTTTTTACATAGATGAGTTTTTTTTATTGCACAGAATTATTAACTTTTCCCACTTGGTTGTAAATATCATCCCACCAAATTAAATTGCATCCAAATGTGTACTCTATCGGTGCCAAGTTGCTTCAGATCCCTGCATAACGTACATTGTCATTTGAGGTCATATCTTGCAGTGTTTGGTACACAGCTGTAGTTTGTGTGTGAAGTGCTGTGATTTCATTTGACCTTGATACCCATCAGGTGTCTGTAAATGTTTTTAAGGTTGTTTTCTTATATTCTTGACAGTATTTTAGATCTATTGTGGTTTCCTGGTAACATTATAAATTTCTTTTAAATTTTATTACACAAATAAGACACAGATTCCTTTTGATAATTATATTTTAACTAAATTTAGAAACATTCATTGAGATTTCTGGTGATTTCTTGTGATCCTCTAAAACCTAAATTATTTTTAGCATGAAACATAAGAACTTATAAAATCACCTGCAGAATTTCCATTTTTGTTTCTCGGATTTTATCACTTTATGTATAACATCGTCTATGAAATTGTAAATTTGAATATAGTTTAAATACTTCAATTTTAGAAAAACATCAAGATGAAACATGGAATTTTTGTGATTACAAATTCTTTTTAAATTCTTCTAAATTTTGAAACTTTTGTATATAGAATATTTCATTGTGTTATTATTGCTTAAATTGTATGCATGGAAAACAAAATATTCTTTGGAATAAATATGCCAATCACAATGAATGAATTTGCTATTAGAACCTTTATTTTTAAAACATAGATTTTGAAAATCTTTGGCATCATGTGAAATAGATTTTCTAAAACAACTATCTTGTCCCTGGTCTAAGGTGGCCGAATTTTAGAGAACCAATGTGAGATAGAGCCAAACCAGACCAAAAACATATATATATTTATTATACATATTACATAATTTAGAATAAATCATTTTAAACATGTTAGTACTTTAACATAAAAATGTGAAAAATAGATTTTTATTTGAAATTATATCTTATCTTGTATTTTTACTTTCTTGCTACATAAATGCTACTGTATTAGCAGGACAATAGGACTAATTAAGTGACAATTAGTAGAAATTAATAAACTAATTAAACACAATATGTGTGAAAAATGTTATAATATTTTTTCTATCATCTGTTATAACAATTTTAACTCTTTTATCTCTTTTTGGATATACAGATTTTGTTGGCTATATTATTGTGTATTCTTAAGATACATACATGTTAGACTTTTAAAAAGGAGACCTAAATAAGACTGAGCACAATTACGTATGTTAAATAATTAAAAACAATGCTGTTTCTTTCTGTTCTATGATGCAGTAGGATATTTTGACTCTTTTCCAATAATACTTCCCCGATTGGCCTGCAGTTGGGGGAGCATCCTTGTTTTCTTTTACGGAGTGGGAAAATGGAATATAGTCAAATACAAAGCTCATTTTGAGTTGCTGCTCTGCTCTTATCAAGTCCACATTAGACTGATTCCTGGGTCCGTCTACCGTGATGATATCAAGCTAAATTTCCTCTCAAAACAAGTGTTTGAGCATGAAATACTTAACGCAGCATTTCTTCATACTATCCTGTGAATAGCAGAGCGGCCATTTTCTGTGAGACAACATGCTAACACGCTGGATGCCCAGAAAATACTTCCACTGTGCTCTGAGCTTTCTCTCTGCTGGGTGAGGCGCGGTTCTAACCCCGTGTGCCTGCGCTCTGCTCCTGCACAGGCCTGCAGACCCCGCCCCGTCCTAGAGTTTCCATTAGGGGGCGCCAGTGTGCCCGTCACCGAGAGCGTCAGGGGAGCCGCAATCACAGCTCCTCTTGGCGAGTCTTGGTTGACCGTGGACCATACAGACGATTATGATCTGTAGTATTATGTGAAGGCAGGTGTCTTTTACTGTGTTCAGAGTCTCAGTAACTTTCAATCTTCATTTTCTTTAATTCTCATAATATCCTGTGTGATAGTTACTACTATTATTGGTTTGTTTTTAAGATGAGAAAAGACAAAACCAATGATTTAATTTCACCGCAGCCACAGATTTCGTCAGAAAGCAGGGTTTCTCCCGCCTCCCAGTGCCGCGTCTTCGCTGGCACTGAGTCCTCAGTTCGCTGCACTGTCTCTGCTGAGCTGTAATTAAACACGGTCATTGCTTTAATGTCTGTCTTTCCTGCTTCCTGGAAGGGACCCTACGTGGAGGCAGGAAAATGTCAATATTCAAGAAAAGCAACAGGACAAAGGAGAAATGTCTGGGTTGAGTTGGTTTGGGCGCAGACAGTCTGGTATTCTAATCCAGAGTTTTAATAACTGTGTCTTATTGGGAAAATTGTATTTAGTAAAAGTACAATAATATTGAAAATAATATTTACCTTACAGGTTACAAATATATTGAAAGGAAAAGTCAGATACTCTACGTAAGGCAATGAACAGACTTTAAACCACCAATGGTAGCCGGTAGCTATTACCTCAGAGATTCAAAAGCTTGTGCAGGAGCAGCCCTGGTAAGATGGTTGTTTCATATTTTTAAAATTTTTGTTTTGATTTATACATATAGTAAAATGCCCTAATAAGTATATATCTTGTTGTATTTTTAGATATAGATGATACCCAGATGAATATATAGAACATTTTCAGAATCTCAAAAATCTTGCTGTGCCTTCTCCCACTGCATAGTCCCAGGCCAAAGGTAACCACGAATCTATGGCCTCTGTTACTATATATTTGCTTTGTCTGTTTTGGAATTTCATATAAATGGCATCATACATGAGGTAACTCATACCTGTGTCCTTTAATCCAATATGTCTGTAACCAACTTACTCTCCAATGAAAACTATATGATTTTCAGTTAAAAACATCTTTGTCAACAGTTGTTTTGTGATTATGCTTGTTGTTTTTGATCTACATTTCCTCAAGAAATAATGATGTTGAAAACATTTTTCGTGTGCTTATTAACCCTTTTGTGAAGACTCTGTTGAAGTCTTTCTCCATTTTTCTATTTGTTCTGCCTTTTTTAAAATTGATTTTTAGAACTTCTTAATATATTCAGGATATGAGCCTTTGACAATTTATTTTCTGGATGTCTTGCACTCTGTGGCTTGCCTTTTCACTCTATTAATGGTGTCTTTTGATGAACGACGCTCTTAATCTTAATATAGATCAATGTATCAATCTTTTCTCCAATGGGTGATGTTTTTGTGTGTCCTGTATAAGAATTCTTTGCTTATCGTAAGGTCAAAAAGATATATTTCTGTGTATTCCTCTAGAATATTTATAGTCTTAGCTTTTACATTTAGGTCTATGATTCATCTTTAAATTTTATGTGAGGTTTGAGGTATGAGTCTAAGTTCTTTTTTGTTCCATATAGATAGCCAATTGTCCAAGCTCCATTTATTGAAAAGCCTATTCCTTCTCCAATTCAATTAACTGACACCATACTTGTGAATCAGTTGATAATATTTGAATGGGTCTGTTTCTGCAGTCTCTATTCCCCAGTAGTGTTCTCTTTGCTATTCTCACATCAGCACCACCACACTATAGGTTTAAAATACTTCTTGCTATTTGGAAATACGTTTTCTGTTTTTATCCTTCTTTAAAATTTCCGTGGTTATTCTAAGTCCTTGGCATTTCCATATACAGTTGAGACTCAGCTTGTCAATTTCCACAGAAACATCTGCTGCAATTTTATTTGGACTGCATAAACTCTGTAAATCAATTTGAGAAAAAACATAATTTTAACACCACTGAGTAGTCCAATCTACGAAGATAAATTAGTGTAGCCTTTGTCCCGGATGTTTGGCAGTAACTTTAATGTTCAAAATGCATACGAAATCAGGGGCCAGTCCAGTGGTGCAGTGATTAAGTTCACACGTTCCGCTTCAGTGGCCTGGCATTGGCTGGTTCGGATCCCAGTTGCGGACCTACGCACCGCATATCAAGCCATGCTGTGATAGGCGTCCCACATATAAAATAGAGGAAGATGGGCACGGATGTTAGCTCAGGGCCAGTCTTCCTCAGCAAAAAGAGGATTGGCAGCAGATGTTAGCTCAGGGCTAATCTTCCTCAGAAGAAAAAAAATGCATATGAAATCAGACAAAGCTCTTCACTTCTGGGTACCTAATTTAGTGCCATATTCTCTCATGAGCATGAAGGTATGCTTGCATATTTATTGCAGTATTGTTTGTACTTAATATCAAGAAAAAGATAACCATCAAATAGTAGTTAAATTATGGTATCTTTGTTATGTGAAATTAGGCTATGTGTAGTGAGGTGGAATATTTTCTGAACAAATATTAGGTAAAAAAAAAAAACTATTGAATTATTCTTCTGGTGTAATGCCATACATATAGAAACGTGCACACATAACCACATATAAATTCTGAAAGATTATCCACCAAACTCTTAATTGGGTTACCACTTGGAACTGGGCTGGATTTGGGAAGTCACGCCCTGGTGGTCAAGGCTTTTATTTGTTGGAATTGATTGAATTTTTAAATAAACACGCATACACATTAAAGTAAATATTTTTATGTAGTTCTTGTCTAATGAGAAAATTTAAACAAATACTCTTTAACCCTGTAGGTTAAAACCAGCCGAAAATACAACAATAACTTCTAAATGAGAAAGGGCAACAAGCAAGAGAAAGAGTGTTTGGTGGGTAGGGACTGGTCAAAAACATATATATATGTATATCTAAAATATGAATTTAAAGAAAGTTCCTATAATTCCAAATATATGATTCTGTATTCAACCCCATTTCTACCAGGACATGTGTGTGATCTTGAGTAACTCAACCTCCTTGAGTCTTGATATTCTCAAATGTGAAATGTGTTGGAAACATTCGCTGGGCTGTTGTACCAAACATATGCATTCATTTTAAAGCACTTGGTGCCTTCTACAGAATAAGAACTGAATAAAATGGTAGCTATTTTTCCTTTTTCTACTTAGATCTATATTAGAGTATTATTTGTTTCCTTCTCTAAAATGCTTTGAAAATGTCTAACGTCTTTCTGACTGACCATCAAAAGATGGCTGCCAAGACAGCAGAATACCTGCTGGTGTCTTCAGGAAGACCAAAAGAAATTCAGCACCTGACGTATCTTCTCCTTCCCACTCGTCTTTCCTTGATGCGTTCACTCACTCCCACACCGCAGTCATTTCCTTTCACTCCAGCGTAGAAATCCCCACAGCACCCTCTGCATTCACCGCCTTCACCTTCACTGCCATTCATGCAGTTGCTTCTCATTCTTTTTTGCTTTCTGGCTGTGAGAGTTTTCCAAAGAGCAGAAATCTACAGATGTGAAGCGAAAGTTGGATCAAGGTTTTGCGGAGATTTTTTTTTCTTCCCAAAGCCCCAGTACGTAGTTGTATATCCTAGTTGTGAGTCATTCTAGTTCTTCTGTATGGGATACGTCCACAGCATGGCTTGATGATCGGTACATAGGTCCACACCCAGGATCCAAACCAGGGAACCCCAGGCTGCGGAAGCGGAGTGCACAAACTTAACCACTCGGCCACGGGGCGGGCCCCAGCAGAGATTTTCTAATTGAATCCTTTTGGAACATGAGGGAAGCTCATTGTCAGAATGATGTCATGGTAGCTAGAGCTGAAGGCAGGCAGAGAGCAGGATCCAGTTCACTGTGGGACCCAATAAAACTTTCCCAGGGAGGAGACCCCCAGCTGTCCCCATGTGACAGGGACAGGAACACAAGCTTCTGACACAGGGAGAGTACCTGTCCCTTCCTAAGGATTTCCTCCAGAGCTGAAAATAAGTCATTTATTGGCAAGAGTCAATTCTAGTACTTAATTTTTTTGTTGTTATAAAGAGAATGAATGTTCAACTACAGGAAAGGCATGGCCACTCTGGGCAGTCTTAGCTATGTGGAGAGAGAAGGAATCCAAATGTGGTTCCTGCCTGCAATGGGCTGTGCAGACAAGAGCCTCCTAATTCATCTCTAGTAAAAGGATTGTGATGCTTCACCATCAGTCTGGAGGAGGTGGTAGGAGAATGCAACAGTGACTAGAAAAGCATCTCAGGCTTGATTGGGCACTAAATATCTCTGCTGGTAGTAAGTTCCCAGTTTCACCAATATGTTTCCCAAATCAGATCACATTGTTTGACTTTATAATGAATAAAACAATTGTCATCCCTACTTTGAATAATGATTTTGCTTCTCTTCACATCTGACCAGGTAGTGAGAAAGAGAGCTCAAACATATTTTAATGAATGTTGGAGTTTATTCATTTGAAGATCTCAATACTTGGTTGAATTTGAGAGATCTTACCATAATCTACACAGTAATGTAACTGAGACGGTTAAAGAGGATGCGTGTGTGAATTGAGGGCATAAGGTGGGGAAGAGAGGCCTCAACACAGGGGGAATCTCTTCTCTGTGTACCTACAAAACTCTTTCCTTTCCTTCTTTACGAATTGGAGTTGGGTATTAATTTCATTTTAAAATATGGCTTCTCTCTTTATTTCCTCTTTTAGTTCTCCTGGGTGAATTAGTTGTCAATCCAGGCATGGACATTACTGTTCTTGGGTTTCCCTGGACTTTTTCACGTTTCAAATATTATGAATCTTCCATTCTGCAGATATTTTTAAATAGATATTACTTACTTTTGTTTATTTTTAAGGAATTTGTGTAAGAAAGTTCTATTATCAGGAGTAATTCAGTTTTAAATAAAGCATGGATCAGAATTTAATAAGGAAGGTAAAATGTTTTCAATAAGTGGATATGGTAGAGGGCTTCAGGATAGGTTCAACCAGCTAACTCAGACTACTAATACTGGCTTATTAAGACACTGGAGGAGAACAGGTCCTCAACCTTTTTTCATCAGCCACAATCTCATCTCAGGTATCTCTGGGCTGGGCCTCTCTCTTGTGTCGGTGCCAACATGGAGAGCAAAGCTGAACCTCTGAAAGTCTCTGATCAGATACCACCTGATATGCCCTCAGGTAGTGGAGTCCTATCAAGCGGAGCGTACGTGATCCTGAAGATCTGAGAATCTGGGCCTTTCTTCTGCAGAGGACTCATGCATGAAATATTTTTAATGGACCATGTGCTTTAAACCATTCTTTGAGCTTTTCAGAGAAGGATCAGTAGAAAATATTTTTTGTCCATTTTAAAAATGAATAACTTAGAAAGAATACAGATCTCAAGTGAATACAGAAACACAGTATTCACTAATAATGAATGTCTGCTGCTTTCTTAGAAAGAGGAGAGTGAAATTGTCTTCCCGTGTCATTTTTTCTTGTCTTTCAGCATCAACAGAGTGGCAGGGAGAGAAAGCTGGAGCCTTAAAGGGTAATGTTCTGCTGTTGAATGCCAGTTCTCCCTGGATTAACCTTAATATTTCTTTTCAGCGAGGGCTCAGGTCTCCAATCACTGAGGAGATCAGTTCCTAGAACCAGTCCTTCTCAGAAAATAATGACCTTAGAGGGAGGCCTCTAAGGCAACATTTCAGGCCTGGGACCCTTCTGCTAACCCGTGTTCTCCCCACCGTTGGAATTGAACAGGGATGGTGTTGGGCCATGGGTCTTGCCCACTAGATGGTGTGAGATGTTGTGGATGGATTATTCCTTTTGGAGGAAAAATTTATGGGTCCTGCCTTTGGACATAGTCTAAGTTGTTACCTTCCCTAAGCTTCAGGCTCCTCTTTTGAGAAAGTGCTTGCCTGCAAATCTCACGGGGTGGTTGTGATGATCACTTACGGCAATGTCTGTGACAGAGCTTTAAAATGACATAGCTCTATACGTATGTGATACTAATGTGTTACTATTATTGTCATACTTTTGACCTTTAATCCTAATCCCTGGGCATTCAGAATCTAACCTTGAAAGAGTTTATTCCCAATGGAACATTCTACTCAGCTTCCTGCAAGATTCTACCTTCACCTGAGGTGACCTAGGCTCCTATTTTCTCTGTTCGGAGAACTCACTGCAAAGACATTCATGTGGCACCAGACCTACTTTCTCTTCAGAAAAGGTGATTCATCTTTCCTGTTGTTTCAGGCACCCCACTTCCTAGGTTGTCTGTGGAATTCCGGGGCCCCAGTGCAGCCTAGAGTTGACATGCGAGGAAGAATCACAGATAAAGGGAAGATAAATCAACCCCTGGAGTGGAGATAAATAGAATATTGTGAAGTCGGACCTGTGGGAGAATGTGGCCCCTGCCAGGCCTGCCTGTCCCCAATCAGCTTTTAAATATACTTTTTACCTCCTGTCTCTTGCAGTCACCTACACAAGCCTCCTTTCGTGGATAGCTTTCCAGACCAGTTATAGCAAGATCCTTCCTCTGAGGAGTGGGTTAGAGCAGCCAAGGAGGCGGACATCTTATAGTTCATGGAGCTAGGAAGATGCTTCTCAGTGCACCTTTGAGATCCAGTAAGTCATAGGTCACTCTGGCCTCCTTGCTTCTGGCTACCACCCTCTGACTGGACGGTATCACCCCCTTACTTTCCTTGTTTTCACCATATAATCTTTGGATGCCTTTCTTCAATCAGAGTCCTCTTTGTCACTATCCCATAGGACCATATTTTACCCCCACCACTTACCTTTTCCCTTCTATACCAAGAGCACACTCAGATACAGGACACTATCCCCAATCCAAACCCCACTTTGTCTTTGGGCCACACCTCATCCCCCGACCCCACCACATCTCCAGATGCCTCTCTTTCTCAGGATCTCACAATTTCCCTAAGGGGACATGCCCCATGGATTCCAGTGTTTCACTTCACTGTCTCCCTAGTTTTCCAAGATTCCAAGTGATGGCTTCAAAAAAGTTTCAGTGATGTGAAGACCTGGACAGTGGCCTCCTGAATGACTGCGGGAGTATCCCCATAACACAGCCATGGGTCCATCAGGCTGTCCGTGACCCTGCCCTACTCTCTCCCTCTGGGAGCGTGTTTCCTCAGGTCAGCCAGAAAGTCCTCCTGCATCCCCTGCTCCCTGAAAAATTTCTCTCAAAGAAATGTTTCCATAAAATCAGAGGAATTGAAATGGTTCTCAATTACTACATTCTCTGAAGTAGTTTGTCTCTGTTTTTCTCTGAAAGGAGACTTGTGTCTTCTGCCTCAGCCACATGTAGGCAAAGTAAGTGTAGGGTTAGCTAGGAGCTCAGGCTTAGAGTAACAAAGGGTCAGCGTCAGCTCATATTGAGAGACTTTCTGAAGGTGATCAAGATCAGGGAGGGATGTTGACCATGGCACTGCATACCCACTGTCATCTCGGGTTCTTTCATTTGTATTTGTGAATATATCTCAATTTTAAAATCTTAATACTACCACAAGAATACAACAACAAAAAACGTGAATGCTCAGGGGCTTTAAAAGTGAGAAAATCGAAGTCCATGTCCCAGGATCTAGACATAGCCATCCTTCTCTCTGTTCCCTCGTTATCTAGAACATTATCTGATCATAGGGTGGAGTAGTTAGGGTTGCACAGACATCATAGGGCCAGAAATGTCCCCACTCAACCTCCAGGAACAGTAAAAGACAAGACTCTTCTCATATTCCCAAAATGCAACTGGATTCTTGGGACCCTAAGTTCAGAGGGGTAAGGAGAAGTCCCTATGACCTCTAATCTTTGGGTAGGGAATAGTTTTCACCTTCCCCCAGATCTCCCCTCTATTCTTGTTGCAGGCTGGGGAGGTGAGCACTGCTCTCCAATAATTCTTATCTTAACCTTTATGAAAGTGCACAGCTGGCCACCAACTCCCATTCCCTCTCCCCATGTGACAGGTTCAAGAACAGAAAAACAGAATTCCTGGCTCTGTGTATGGTTAGAAGGGTCAGGGGAAGGAGAGGAGACCCAATGGAAGGCCAAGCAGATATAAGGGCTTAGCAAACTTGGGAGTAGAATATTAACAGACTTGAGAAAGAACTCTCCACATTTCTTTAAGTGGCCCTCAGGTCACTCCTGGCCACTGGAAGAGAACTGGGTTCAAAGCTAGGGATGTGAAAATTGGGTCACGTTGCCCCACCTCCCAACCTCCACGAGACAACCCATTTCTGAAAGGATTCAGAGGTAGGAACATTTTCCTGAAAACAGTAGCTTTTGAATCTTAGAAAAACTATCCACAGTGGATGTAGAACTAATTGAACTTTAGAGAAGGTGGGTGTTTAGGGGATCCTGGGGTTAATGTGGCAAGTCCAAGGAATAAGGCAAGCACTGCTTAAGGATCTGCCATGGTTGTGGGGTTTATCTATCTAGAAGAAAACTTTGAACACAGCAATGAATTTTCCCCATTGAATGGGTACCCTGGGAAAGGGAAGCCCCTTCCCTTGGAGACTACATGGGGCCTGATGATGTCATTGCAGGGGAAGGGGTGACACAGCAATCAGGATGGGGATGCTCATAGTGCAGCCACCGTGACTGCAGATTAATGAACAAGTTTAACCGCAAGTGAAGAAGGGAAGAATGACCCAACAAGTGGGAAGGAATGGGAATGTCCCCTTCATCATCAGTTATGACACCTGCCCCATTCCCTCATTGAAGAGGGGTGGAGACAGACTTAATGAGCTATGTAACTTTGAAAATGAGTGGCATTTGTAAGACTAAAGAGAAAAGAAACTGTTCATAAGCACTCAAGTTGATAACATTTCCCACAGGGATATGGCTTAACAATTCTGATTCTGCTGTACATGTATACTAGAAGTGAAATATAAAGTAAATTGATGTGGAGTGATGTGACTCAAGTTTCTCACTGAAGGAGTGAAAAGTTACAGATAAGAAGGTGGAGCTAGAATGGTCCATGTGGAGATATCAGTATGCACTCGTGGGTAGTATAGATACACATCATTGTATATAGAAATATTTATAGATATGTATGTATATGCAGGTTGGTTTTAACACATCTGTTCCATTGCTCTGTCATCTGAGAAGGCCTAAAAGTCATGACATTTAAGTAGAAATAAGCACATCTAGTGCTCATACCTAGTTCATTGGTACCATTTCCAACAAAGGAACCAAGGTTCCTTGGAGAAATGACTAATTCTAGGACTATGGCAGGAAATATACAATATGAACAGGCATCATCATATAGTGCCAGAATGAAAATGCTAACACACACACACACACACACACACACACACAATGATAGGATATGTCAAGGGGACACCAGAGCTCACTGAAAGAACTCACAGTTACCAATTCTGGAAAAATTTGAGCAAAAATAAGATCGTACAGACAATTGGTGTGAGTGATGTCAGTATCATGGCAGAGTGAGTCTTCCCAATAATCTTTCCCCTCCGATATACAACAAAAAGAACATTCATACTCCAACAGAGGACATCCAAACACAACACTAAATACACCAGGGAGACCCAGGCAGCCATACAATGGAGGGCAGAGAGGCTGGAGCACCCCCTCAGAGGAGGTGGAATGGAGTAAGAGAAAACTTCAGTCCCCTAAAGACTGAGATCTGGGACCATGGGCAGCCTCCAAGAGGGAAGGAACGGGGGAAGGAACATTCATTTGCAGGAACATCAAGGACTCCAAGGGTCCCTTCAGCCTAGAGGGAAGCCCTCTATGGTGGCAAAAGCCTTTGCAGGGGATGACCTTATCACACCAACACCCCAGGAGAGCAGATAGAGAGCAGAGGGAGAAAACCCAGAGAGCACACAGGAGAAAGCACCCCTCCCCCCACCTGCTCAGTGCAGCTCCAGCCCCTGGGATTTCGGCTGAAGCAGAGGGCTCAGAATACATGGCTCTTGATCCCCACTCAGTGGTGATAGGTGTTAACTGTGACCTAATAACACCAGGATGTGAAAAAACAGAGCCACTCCCTCTAGCCAGAGCAAACATTATATTAGATGTCCAGACCAGAGAGAAAATGACAAGTGCCCAGAAATCAGTCCTGAGGATGCAGAAATATGTAATCTAAATGACAAAGAATTCACAACAGCTATCAGCAAAAAACTCAACAAGGTAAAAGAGAATGTAAAAGAATTCAACAGGTTCAGGAGCTACTTCACAAGAGAGATTGAAACTATAAAGAAGAATCAATCAGAAGTAATAGAGGTGAAAGACACAATGGAAGAAATAAAACAAAATATGGATTCCCTGAACACTCAAGTGGACACTATAGAGGAGCGTGTCAGCATAATCGAAGATAGACATGTTGAAATGCTCCAGATAGAGGAGGAGAGAGAACTAAGACTAAAAAGAAATGAAGAAAGTCTCCAAGAAATATCTGACTCAATTAGGAAATGCAATATAAGAATTATAGGTATTCAAGAAGGAGAAGAGAAGAAGAATGGAGTAGAAAGCTTGTTCAAAGAAATATAGCAGAGAACTTCTCAAACCAAGGGAAGGAAATCCATGTGGAAGAGGCTACCAGATCTCCTAAATGTGTCAATGTGAAAAAGACCTACTGCAAGGCATATAGTAGTGAAACTGGCAAAACTGAATGACAAAGAAAGAATACTAATGGCAGCAAGGCAGAAGAAAATAACCTACAAAGGAACCTCCATCAGGCTTTCAGCAGTTTTCTCTGCAGAAACCTTACAGGCTAGGAGAGACTGGAACGACATATTCAAATCTTTGAAGAACAAAAATTTTCAGCCAAGAATACTTTATCCAGCAAAAATATCCTTCAGATATGATGGAGAAATAAAAACTTTTCCAGACAAACATAAACTAGGGGTGTTTGTAGTCCTGAGAACCCCCCCAAGAAATCCTCAAGAAGGTCCTCATGCCTGAAAAAAAGGAGGTGGGGGGGAGAAAGGGGTTACAAAGCATGGAGTAAGGAGATAAATAGGTAGACAGAATCAGAGCAGGATAGCAAATACTCAGGTATAGCATTAAAGACAAAGGGAAGGAAAACACCAAAAAAAAAAAGATAATCTTGTTATTTTAACCACAAATTCATATCACAAGATGGAATAAGATGTGAGAAAAACAACTTAGGAGGGGAAGAGGATAGGGACTGAATCAGTTTAGTCTAAGGAAATAAAAGGCCATCAGAAAAGGGACTATCTTACCCACGAGATCTTGAACACAAACCTCAAGGTAACCACTAAATAAAAAAGCAAAACAGAGACACAAATAATAAATAAGGAGAAAACAAAGAAATACAACATTAAAAACTACATAACTTGATTGGTAGATCAAAATACACAGTCCAAGAAACAAAGGAAATGCAGGAGAACCAGGAAATAAGTGATAAAATGGCAGCATTGAGCCCTCATATACTGATAATCATCCTATACGTAAATGGATTGAATTCTCCAATAAAAAGACACAGAGTGGCAAGATGGATTAAAGAACAAGACCCAAAAATATGCTGCCTCCAGGAAAAATATCTCAGCTCCAATGACGAATGCAGGCTTAGAGTGAAGGGATGGAAGATGACACTCCAAGCTAATGACAAACAAAAGAAAGCAGGTGTTGCAATACTTATATCAGACAAAATAGACTTCAAGATAAGACAGGTAAAGAGTCTCTGATTCTGTCTACCTATTTATCTCCTTACTCCATGCTTTGTAACCCCTTTCTACCTTTTTTTTCAGGTATGAGGGCCTTCTTGAGGATTTCTTTTGGGGGGGGGTCTCATGGCTACAAACGCCCCTCGCTTATGTTTGTCTGGGAAAGTTTTTATTTCTCCATCATATCTGAAGGATATTTTTGCTGGCTAGATTATTCTTGGCTGAAAATTTTTGTCCTTCAAAGAGAGAAAAAGAGGGGCAGTATATAATGATCAAAGGGACATTCTATCAAAAAGAAATAATACTTATAAATATCCATGCACCCAACACAGGAGCACCAAAGTACATAAAGTAACTATTAACAAACCTAAAAGAAGACATTAGTAATAACACAATAATAGTAGGGGACGTCAACACTCCACTCACATCAATGGATAGATCATCCAAGCAGAAAATCAGCAAGGAAACAGTGGAATTAAATGAAAAGCTAGACCAATAGGGCTTAATAGACATATATAGAACGCTCCATCCAAAAACAGCACAATACACATTCTTCTCAAGTGCACACAGAACAGTCTCAAGAATAGACCATACTTTGGGAAACAAGACAAGCCTCAATAAATTTAAGAAGATTGAAATAATACCAAGCATCTTTTCCCATCACAATGCTATTAAGCTAGAAATTAATTACAAGAAAAAAGCTGAGAAAAGGACAAAGATGTAGAGACTAAACAACATGCTATTGAACAAGCAATGGATCATTGAAGAAATTAAAGGAAAAATAAAAAAATATCTGGAGACAAATGAAAATGAAAACAGACCATACCAACTCATATGGATGCAGCAAAAGCTGTATTAAGGGGGAAATTCATCACAATATAGGTTCACCGTAACAAACAACAAAAAACCCAAATAAGCAATCTCAAACTACATTTAATTGAATTAGAAAAAGAAGAACAAACAAAGCCCAAAGACAGCAGGAGGAAAGAAATAATAAAAATCAAAGCAGAAATAAATGCTATTGAAACGAAAAAGGCAGTAGAAAGGATCAATGAAACAAAGAGCTGGTTCTTTGAGAAGATAAATAAAATTGACAAAGCCCTAGCCAGACTTATAAAGAAAAAAAGAGAGAAAGTTCAGATAAATAAAATTAGAAATGAAGGAGGAGAAATAACAATGGATATCACAGAAATACAATGGATTATAAGAGAATAGTATGAAAAACTATATGCCATCAAAATGGACAATCTAGAGGAAACAGATAAATTCTTAGACTCTTACAACCTCCCAAAGCTGAATCAAGAAGAAATAGAGAATCTGAACAGACCAATCACAAGTAAAGAGATTGAAACAGTAATCAAAAGCATCCCAAAGAATAAAAGCCCAGGACCAGATGGCTTTCCTGGGGAATTCTACCAAACTTTCAGAGAGGATTTAATACCTACCCTTCTCAAGCTATTCCAAAAAGTTAGGGAAGATGGAATGCTTCCTAACACATTCTACGAGTCCAATATCACTCTGATACCAAAGCCTGTCAAGGACAACACAAAAATGGAAAACTGCAGCCCAGTATCGCTGACGAACATAGATGCAAAAATCCTCAACAAAATATTGGCAACCTGATACAGCAATACATCAAAAAGATCATACATCATGATCAAGCGGGGTTTATACCAGGGACACAGGGATGGTTCGACAACCACAAATCAATCAATGTGATACACCACATTAACAAAATAAGATAGTACAGATTATATTTCAAAGTACAAAATAAATATCCATTAGTGCATAGTGATATAAATAAATTATTGAATAAATGACTAAATATGAGATAAGAGACCCATCTCCCATTCAGAAGAAGTCCAAATAATTTATACAGCAATTGTGCCCTCAAGGAAGTAGAGAATAACTCCCTGCTCTTTGAGTGTGGGTTGCATATTCAGACTTCCTTCCAAAGAAGACAGTGTGGAAAGGGGAGAAATACAGTAACTTTACAGGAGAGAAACGTGACAACCCTGTCTGAGCCAGGTGATCAAGTTGAACATCAGCAGTGATGTCATGCTGATAGTACGTCCCTTTGATATAGTATGAGTAAAATGGCACTTTTCAAATGGTCTTCTCAAAAACCTGTAACCCCAACATAATCATCAGAATGACACAGACAAGTCGCAACTGAGGGATGGTCTATAAAATACCTGACCAGCATTCCTCACAACTGTCAAGATCATCAAAAACAAGAGAACCTGAGAAACTGTTGCAGCACAGAGAAAACTAAAGAGTTATGACAACTAAATGTTATGTGGTATTCTGGAAGAGATCATCGAACAGAAAAAGATAAGTCGGTAAAAACTAAGAGAACCTCAATAAGGTATAGACTCTACGTAATAATAATATATCAATATTGGTTCTTTATTGTGTCAAATGTCCCTTACTAAACATAAGATGTTAATAATAGGGGGAAGGGGACATGGGTTATGTGAAAACTCTCTGTACTGTCTTCATAATTTTTCTGTAAATCTAAAATGATTCTCAGATAAAAGGCTTATTAAATAATTTAAATTTTCTAACTATGAAAATATACCACTTAAAAAATGAAAAGTCAACTTGCAATTTGGGAGAAAATATTTACAATACACATATCTAGCGAAGGACTTTTATCCAGAATATGTAAAGGCCACCTACAAGTCAATGTAAAAAGGCAACTCATGAATGGCTAAAAAATGCAAGAAAATGTACTAACACCGTCAGTCACTAGGGAAATGCAAATGGACACCACCATGAGATACCACATTACTCTAGCCAGAATGCTTAAATTGAAGACTGACAATATTAAGTGTTAGTGAGCATGTGGAGAAAGTGGCACTCACCTTCCTGTGGGAATGTAAAAAGTTATAACCTCTTTAAAAACTGTGTCTTATAAAGATAGACCTACACATATCTTATATCAGAAATTCCACTTCTTGGCATTTACCTATGAGAACAAAAACATATGTCTACAAAGAGATCTTTTACAAGGGTGTCCATGGCGGCTACATTCATAATAGCTGAAAACTGCGAACAATCCAAAAGTTCATCAACATGAAATGCATAAATATATTGTGGGTCATTCATTCAATGGAATTACTATGGAACAATAACAAATGAACTACTACGAATGCAAGCAACAACATGGATGAATCCCAAAGAAAAATTGAGCAAAAGAAGTCAGGCACAGAAAGAGACATTCCAATTATGAGAGGTATGAGAAGAAATAAAGCGAATCCTTAGGGATGGAAATCACAGCGGTGTATGCCTTTGGGCATTGGGAATTGAGGATGATGCTGAATTTTATGTCTTGATTACAGTGTTGATTAATGGTTCAATCTATGTGTGAAATACATAAAATTATATACTTCATAACCATTCATTTATTTGCATGTAAATTTTGTTTAAATGATAGAGTGTGCAAGGAAGCAGCCATTATCTTTGCTTCCTCAGCTCCATTTCCTGAGGAAAAGCACAAAAACAGGCATATGGATGCTCACTTTTATGTCTTAAAATGAATGAATAAAGGATTTATTCATCTAATCTTCATCTTCTGTCATAAAAATCTGGATTGTTTGGGTTTTCATTGCAAATGTAAAAAAGAAAATTTGTCTTATAGTAAAATTTAATAGCTGACAAGAGAATTAACAAAATATTAAGGTGAGCATATATTATTTAACACAATGCAAAGGTAAACAGGTTACATTCTAAAAATCTGTAAAATTTAAGGCAATATATTTCATACCAAAAGCAGTCTTCGAAGCGAATGAATATATTTTTTTAATGAAAGACCTGAGCTCTTTCCTTACATACTTTTTTAAAAACAATCAACTAAAGCCATAGCTTACATTAGGGTTCACTCTTTGGGTTGTACCTTCTATAGGTTTTGACAAATGCATAATGACATGCCTCCACCATTATAGTATCATACAGAATAGCTTTCCTGCTGTAGAATCCTCTTTGCTCCACCTGTTCATCTCCCTGCCCCACTCCCCACACCCTCCCAAACCCTTGGCTAACACTGATTTTTTACTGTTGTCATAATTTTGTCTTTTTCTAGAATGTCATATAGTTGGAATCATATAGTACGTAGCCTTTTCAGATTGGCATCTTTCACTTAGTAATATGCATTTAAGCTTCCTTCATGTCTTTTTTCATCGCTTGATGACTCATTTCTTTTCAGCACTGAATAATATTTCATCATCTGGATGTACCACAGTTTATTTTTCCATTCACCTGTTGAAGGACATCTTGGTTGTTTCCAAGATTTTGGCAACTATGAATAAAGCTGCTATAAACATCCCTGTTCAGAGTGTTGTGCAGATGTAAGTTTTCACCTCCTTTGAGTAAATCCCAAGTAGCACAATTTCTAGATGGCATGGTAAGATTATGTTTAGTTTTGTCAGAAACTGCCAAACTGTCTTCCAAAGTGGCTGTACCATTTTGCATTCCTACCAACAATGAGTGAGAATTCCGGTTGCTCCACATCCTCGTCAGGATTTGGTGTTGTCAGTGTTCTGGATTTTAGCCATTCTAATACATGTGTAGTGGAATCTCATTGTTGATTTAATTTGCATTTTGCTAATGATGTGTAATGAGAGACTTTTCACATGCTTATTTGCCATCCATATATCATCTTCGGTGAGGTGTCTATTCAGATCTTCAGCCCATTTTAAATTGGGTCTTTCATTTTCTTATTATTCGGTTCTAAGAGTTTTCTGTATATTTTGGATAACAGTTATTTATAAGACCTGTCTTTTGCAAATATTTTCTCCTAGTCTGTGGCTTGTCTTCTCCTTCTTTTGACAATGTCTTTCACAGAGCAGAAGTTTTTAATTTTAATGAAGTACAACTTTTCAATTTTTTTCTTTCATGGATCATCTTTGGTGCATCCTAAGCGTCATTGCCAAATCCAAGGTCAACCAGGTTTTTGCTATCTTTTTTTGAAACGAGACTAATGATGAAGATAACTGGCTCTTGATTTCCACCCCATAGGACAACCTCCTATGTACATTCACTGTATTCCTTCTCTTTAAAATACAGAGTGGTTCCTTGAAGTACCCCTTACAGCCAATAGCAAGTCCTTGCCTCACGAATTTCTTTTACTTCTTTTTCCTAACAGATCTCCAGGTCTGCCAGCTACTGACCACGTTGAGGACTTTCTCCAGAAGGATCTCCCCCACTTTACAAACAAGCTTCCCAAAGTAATTTTCTATACACAGAGCCCCTAATTCTCATTCTTGTGCTTCTTTTTCAACTTACTCCCATCTGGTTTCTGTCTCATTATTTCTGCTAAACCAAATACTGCTCAGGTCACCAGCAGCATCTATTTTCAAGTCCACTGTGACAGTTCAGACTGTACCTTCCCTGCAAGCACAACTTTGTCCTTTTTTTTTTGTTTTTTTTTTTGGTGAGGAAGATTGTCCCTGAGCTAACAGCTATTGCCAATCTTCCTCTTTTTGCTTGAGGAAGATTGTCCCTGAGCTAACATCTGTGCCAATGTACCTCTGTTTTTTGTTTGGGGGTTGCTGCCACAGTATGGATTGATGAGCAGTGTGTAGGTCCATGCATGGTATCTGGGTCATGAACCCCGGGCCCCAAAGGAGAGCACACAAACTTAACCACTATGCAACTGGGCCGACTCACCACTTTGTCTTTTAAACATACTCTTCCCTTCAGTAGTCTCTCCCCTTTATGCTCCATGTGTTCTTCTAACTTCACTGACCACTCGGCCTCAGTGCCCACTGCAGACCCTCTTCTGATCAAACTTTAAATGTTAAGGGTCTGCAGGACTAAGTTTAGGTCCTCTCCTCATCGTCCACTCTATTTATAAGGGACCCCATCCAGCCCCATGCCCTCCTGCCCAGATACACAGTAAGGAATCCCCAGTTAATACATCCACCCAGGGCATTTGTTGTTCATTCTAGACCCATATGTCAGCTCAATAGCTGACAAGAATTCTGCAATTATGTATCACCCAGGTACCCTAGAAAGGAGATCTTTTCTCCCCCCCAAATTATTTGTATCTACAGCTTGTGATGTGAGAACATTTTCCTTTACTTCTTTTTGTAATTTTTAATATAATTGAAATTTTTAAAATCCTTATAATCTTTTTATGTCTCTTTCCCTGTGGGACTGAAAATTTCAACACAGAAACTATTGTGTTAGATTTATTCACCTGTGTTTCTTGAAGGCAATTCCACAATCTCCCACTTTGATACTCAAATTATACAGAAGACAGGAATTGAATGAACATATGAGTAGGTAAATATTACCATCCATTCTCTGATTTGGTTTAGAAAACCAGGGTTTGAATTTGGGTTTTAAGGATAAACAGACTCAAAGTTTTCTTTGATAAGAGTTTAATAAATAAAATGAAATGCAAATTTAATAAAATAGGAAGGTAAACATGTTTTCTAAATTTTAATACAATATAAAGGCAAATATCTTTCATATTAAACTATAAATATAAATATAAGATGAAGAATAAATAAATATAAATAAATAAACAATAAATAAAAACATCAGGGCAGTCATGTCTCAGCCACTGATGCCACAGGAACTGAATATTTTTTACATATTCTTGCTTAATACTACTGGCAAAATATTTGCTGAATTAAATTCAATAGAGTCTGCAACTAAAGCAGAAATAAGAGCCTTTTGAAATGACCAAGGACATATGCAAGGGTAACATGACCCAGTAGTTAAGGAGAATCTTTTCAAGGTGAGCCCAGGTCTCCATCCTTCATTCTTAACCTTTCTTGCAGGTTTGCTGATGAAGAGAAGGATCTCATGATTTCCATTCGGACAATCTCCCAGGCACAGTCACTGTATTTCTTCTCTTTCAGGTAGAGATGGATCCCCCGGAAGTACCTCTTCAGGGCCAGTGTAGGGCGCACAGGTCCCAGGGCAGATTCTTCCTCTCCCATCTCCTGCTCCAAACAGGTGTCCAGGTCTTCCAGCTGCCGAAGGAGTCCCGTGCAGAGTTCGTCCAGGAGGGTCGTGTTCCAGGCAGCAGACGAGCGCTCTGTGTGGAAGAGGCTGAAGATCTGCTGGAGCATCTCGTGGAGGACAGACGTGGCCTGGGCCTCTGGGAACTGCCTGCCATCCGCCATGTCCTGGGGGAACCTGAAGTCTTTTCTGTCCTTCAGACAGATTGCGGAGGAGATTCTGCTCATTTGGCCCAGAAGCACGAAGTTCTTCCTGCTAACCAGGATGTGGTTCTGAGGCAGGTCACAGCCCAGAGCTCCACCAGGACCATAGCTGATCACCACCAGGGCCGTCAAGAGAGAGGGCAGGAGGGCCATGGGGAAAACGAGGGTGCTGCTGGCTGGCTGAGCTGGGTGTCTCTGAACCTTGGACCCGAGGTTCTCTGATGACATTCTTTCCAAGCATGGCCATTAAATAGGGAACACCATAATTTTCACTTTCTAAACATTTCTCTACACTTTTATTTCCTTTTTTTGTTTTCATTTATGTATTCTCCATGTGGTCTAAGAAGACGTCATCAATCTAAACTATTAGTTTTGCAACAGAAGTTTAATTTTCCCAGGAAACTTCAGATGTGCCAATTCTAATGGATACTCATCAATCGAAAGAGAAAAGACTTTGCCCCAAAGTCAGAGTGATATAGGTATGTAAATACTCACGACACACACACTCGATCTCTCTTTTTCATATATAAGTATTATCTTCTCTGTCTAGGACACATTTTTAGCCCTGATCTTAGGCTCCATTTTGTCCTCCTCACCTTACATAGGAGGGCAGGCTCCCTCAGCCCTAAGGGTCTCTGTATGAGTCAAGGGATTTACCAGACCACCTTTGGCAATTAAGCTCTTTAGAACCAAGGACTGGGTTGCATTTACTGTTTGATTCACAGCAGAGGCTGATGATTATGAGTGAATGAACTTCTCCGATGTGTCTCTTCCTTCTAGAACCCATTCATGCAGGTCCATGTGGTTATGCTTCCCTGGGGCCACAAAGTCAGGACTAACAGAGACATTGTCCTTTCTTTCTACCATTGTCTTACTGGAGGCCTATAGTGCTCCTCAAGCTGTGCCAACAGCCCTAGCATGAGTCCTGATTCTTTTCAGGAGCATATGGGGATGGAGGTTCAAATCCAAGCACCGCCTCACTCACAAGGTACATATCACATCTAGTACCACTGTCTCCTCCACAGTGACAGAGGCCTCATCCTGAACTCTCCTGGACTCATGCCCTGAGGGCAGGCTCGCCACATCCTGAGGACTTTAACAGTCTAGGGGCTTGTTTCTGCATTGGCAAAATAATTACTCCTTCAGGACCCTCGCCCTTGCTCCTAGAGTGTTTGTGTGAAGGACCAGAGTCCCCGGGTATCAGTGTCAAGAGCCCTTGGGTGCTGACAGCAAGTTTGTTTTGTTTAAGGAGGTTGAGGAATTACCCAGTTGCCATCATTTCACCTTTAGTAGGCACATAATTTTTATGTTGCCAACAACAGATTTTACTATTCAACTGTTTTCTTTAAGCTATTGAACACTTGTTATGCTTGAGGTTTCTGAGCTGGACACAAGGGATTCAGTGATGATGATGTCTCTTATTAGAAGCTTTTGATACAGAAACTAATGACCTCTGGTTGTTCATCACTCAGTGGATTCCATTGGGCTTCTTCGTTCCTCTGTCTCTGTCTCTGTCTCTCTCTGAGAATGCAGGGCAGTGAGGGCCAGGCTACCAAATCAGGGAGAAATAGTCTTCTTTTTGTTACTTGTTCATGACATTTCATTTAAAATTTTTCTGTCTTCTTTTCACTTACTGGCTTAATGGGCAAGATTTGTCTTGCTGTTCCTGCATTACATTCTAATTCGTGATGAAGTGAGAACAACAAAGGAAGTAAAAGAAGGCAAAGAGGCTGCAATCTCTATCATTTTCAAGACTTCAGATTTTTTGTTTCTCATTCTGACTTTCCTAGAAAGTAAAATTCGACAGTAGTTTAGTGGGCAAAAAGAAAAGAAATGCAAGTGTGAATGTTGTGAAAGTGAAAAAAGGGAAGTGATTTTCCGGTGATGGAATGAGGTATTCTAAGTTAGCAAAATTCAATGCAGCAAAGTTGGGGACCAGGGTATGGCAGAGGGGAAGAATGAAGGCCAGTGTTGAATAACATAAAGGCAGGACAATGGCTGCTTCTGCCAGAAGCTCAAAGACCAACTCCTGGGTCAATGGCCTGCCTTCAGCTTCGCAAGACCAGCCATCTGATTTTTCTTACATTTAATCCACATGTGATCAGCTCTGAGGAGAGAAGGAAAGAGTTACACCAACCAGCTCACAGAGACTGGCAACCAGAACCCCAGTTTCTAGAACACTAACCCTGTCTGGCAGGATAGTGTGTACCAGCTCTTGCCTGAGCTGTCAGGCAATTAAATGATTGTGTTGAGAAATCTAGAATTAAAAGAAAGGGAATTAGATGATTTCAAAAGATTCTGATCTTAATCTGGATAATAGTAATCATGACATTAAAAAAGGATAACTGAATTTTATTGCATACTTATTATGGATGAGCCACTCTTCTAAGTTCTTTAAACCATTAACCCAATTGTCTCAACAACCCTACATGGATTACACTCACTTGCACAACTGGAATGAAACATATATCATCAGGGATGAACTCTTCCTAACGTACTGATGCTGGCCCTGTTATCAGTTTCCCTACCTTAAACCCAGAATATATGAGGTTAAAACCAAAGCACTCATTCCCTGCTTACTCCTTGGCTTCCTGGCTCCAGAATCCACTATCCTTGATGGAGACAGACACAGCCAAGGATAAGCACCTGGATTTGTTATCTCCTTCCCACTGAGGAGATACAGGCTGATGGGAAAGCTCTGACCAGCAAGGCCATATGCTTCCCCTCCCCTACCTAAAACCCCAAATAAAAACCCTTCCTTTTAGCTTTTCGGGGAGTTTGGGATTTCAGCATTAGCTGCCCTCTCTCCTTGCTCAATGCTGTGCAGTAATAAAGTTCCTACTTTCTTCCACTACATAAGGTGTCAGAGATTGGCTTACTGCGCAGTGGGTGAGTGAACTCACTTCAGGTTCGATACCAGGACCAAAGATCCAAGAGCAAACCTTAGGGAGAGTCAATATAGTGGCTTGTCCGGAAGAGCCATTAAAGGAAGTGAAGGATAGATATGGACATGAGATTTATGAACCAATGAGAGGCCACAGCATGAAGTCATAGAGCAAGGAGAGTGAGATGACAAAGGATCCTGAGTTCCACTTCAAATGCCAAGGATTGTTGTCTATTGTTGTATAGGGTAAACTGGGGTGTGGTATGAGTCCACTGAACTAACTTTAAGTTCTAACGAAAAATAGACAAAATGCCTATTAAATAGAAGGGAGTAGATTTTTCTGCCAATTGAATAAAAAGTCTAAGATTTTATGAGTGATTTCTTCAATGAATTACAGTAAAGTAACTTTAACCCATTAACTGAAGACTCAAGGAAGCCTATTTGTTTTTAACTCTTGAGTTTTCTTGTGAGTTTAAGAATAAATAAAGAGCCCCTGACAGTTTCCAGCCATATGGGCTCTGACTTTCCTCCTTCAGGACCTCACTGATGCCATGGGATACCTCTTCATGCCGGCCTGCTCTTCTCATTCCCAAGGACAACTCTGTTTCTCACCTCCAGCCCAGACTGCTCTTCCTGTTGTTTACTGAGAGAGCCCAGTGAAGAATCTCTTCTCTTGCATCTTTGCAACCAATGTTTGCGATGTGAGTGCTGAAGAGGCTTATGTATGACCAGGATGGAAGGGTATTATGCACTTCCTGGACAGAAGCAGTGGATGCTTTTAAACTGCTACTTACCAAGGAGAGTCTCGCTTGAACTCCAGACTCAGTCACATGGCTTAATATAGCTGTCTTTATTTTTCTAGCCTCATCCTAGTAAAAAGTCATAAAATAAGCTGCAGGATTGAAGTCAGCATATTATTAAAATCAGCATTAGTTTGTAAAATGATATTTTTAGCAATATAGGGATCTGCTTTGCTGGTTTTTTTTTTTTTTTTTTTTTTTGCTGAGGAAGATTAGCCCCAAGCTAATATCTGTTGCTAATCTTCCCCATTTTTTAATTTTTTTTCTTGAGGAAGATTAGCTCTGAGCTAACATTCATGCCAATTCTCCTCTACTCTATATGTGGGTGGCCACCACAGCTTAGCTGACAAGTGGTCCACACCCAGGATCTCTACCCACGAACCCAGGCCACCAAAGGGGAACACGTGGAATCTAACCACTATGCCTTGGGACTGGGCCTTGCCTTGCTTATTTTTTGGACTTGAATGCTCAGGAAAGTTTCCAAACTCTAAGTGTACCTACTCAGTGCAGTGTGCACCAACTGGAAAGACAAGAAAGAGGATTGATCCATCAATGTCCTCTTTCCAAATGCCTAAATTAAATAAATGAATTTTCTCAAAGGTCTTTGTTGCTTTTAGAGATTGTGATCTCCCAGTATACACACTGCTAATATGTGTCCTGCTGGGAATGCTCTACCAGGCTTGTTGCTAAATGTGTTCAAATCCCTGCTGTGTCCCTTCTACTCAAGCATTGTTTCATTTTGTCTGTTTATAAAGGAGGCTGCACCATGACCCTAAATTAGGAGATTCCTTGGATTGCCTTGACCCCAGGAGTAATTTTCCCTGTGATGTGATGACTTGCTGAGTCCTAGGGAGGGAACTGAAGTTTGCAGCTGACCCTGGAGGAACCTTTGCCCCTTCCAATACTCCGCAGGCTGTTGTGCTATCAGTGTCACCCTTGCTGGGGACACTGCTATTGGCCATGTCTCTGTGGAATGACTGTGTTCTCAGCATCCACTTCAATCTTCCCTCCATCTGAATCAGAATGTTCTAGAGAAACACTTGACTCAATGCTGCCCATTGTATTGTTCCATCTCCAGAGGACCTGCCGCTGTTCCAGTGAAAGCTTTAATCTCCGTTCTCCTTCCAAGTTCTCAAGCTGCTGCCGACTTGACTTTCAACTCCACATTTCCTGTGCTTTGGGTTTTTTGAGTAAATGAGAGAGACCTGAGCCTGGTGCTGCCTCCTCCTGGTGGAATGAGAATGTGGATGCAGCTCAAGAGAGGCCCAGATGAGCTCCTGGATTCTTTGCCAGTTCGTCAGGTGCAGACATGTGGGCAGGGTTCCCTCTAGTATGTACTGTGTTTCCATCCAGGGCTGGACTGTCTTGACCTGCAGCGCGCAGCTCTGGGCAGGCGGGAGTGTGGAGGCGGGGCCACATTCACACTCCCTGGGCTCACAGGACCCAGTGGTCTTCAGCTGGTGCTGCAC